TGACACAGGGACCAGGGCGAACTTTGCAGAGCTGTAAAACAGTGGAGATTACATTGTATTGTTGTTGTTTAGTCGTTTATAGTCGTGTCCGACTCTTCGTGACCCCATGGACCAGAGCATGCCAGGCACTCCTGTCTTCCACTGCCTCCCGCAGTTTGGTCAAACTCATGCTGGTAGATTCGAGAACACTATCCAACCATCTCGTCCTCCGTCGTCCCCTTCACCTTGTGCACTCCATCTTTCCCAACATCAGGGTCTTTTCCAGGGAGTCTTCTCTTCTCATGAGGTGGCCAAAGTATTGGAGCCTCAGCTTCACGATCTGTCCTTCCAGTGAGCACTCAGGGCTGATTTCTTTCAGAATGGATAGGTTTGATCTTCTTGCAGTCCATGGAACTCTCAAGAGTCTCCTCCAGCACCATAATTCAAAAGCATCAATTCTTCGGCGATCAGCCTTCTTTATGGTCCAGCTCTCACTTCCATACATCACTACTGGGAAAACCATAGCTTTTACTATACGGACCTTTGTTGGCAAGGTGATGTCTCTACTTTTTAAGATGCTGTCTAGGTTTGTCATCGCTTTTCTCCCAAGAAGCAGGTGTCTTAATTTCATGACTGCTGTCACCATCTGCAGTGATCAGGGAGCCCAAAAAATTAAAATCTCTCACTGCCTCCATTTCTTTCCCTTCTATTTGCCAGGAGGTGATGGGACCAGTGGCCATGATCTTCGTTTTTTTTTATGTTAAGCTTCAGACCATATTTTGCGCTCTCCTCTTTCACCCTCATTAAAAGGTTCTTTAATTCCTCCTCATTTTCTGCCATCAAGGTTGTGTCATCTGCATATCTGAGGTTGTTGATATTTCTTCCGGCAATCTTAATTCCGGCTAGGGATTCATCCAGCCCAGCCTTTCGCATGATGAATCCAGGTTCCTATGCAATATTTTTCTTTACAGCATTGGACTTTCCTTTCGCTTCCAGGCATATCCGCAACTCTGTGGCGAAGGGGCTTGAATAACTCAGAGAAGCTATGAACTATGCCGAGCAGGGCACCCAAGATGAACAGGTCATAGTGGAGAGTTCTGACCAAACGTGATCCACCTGGAGGAGGAACCGGCAAGCCACTCCTGTATCCCTGCCAAGAAAACTCATGGACAAGTAGATCCAGAGCTGATGAAGCGGCTGAGCCAAAGCCGAAAGGACGCTCAGTACATTGTATACAAGACAGCAAATAAGGCAGGCTAGAATCATAACAGCATGGGTGAAGATGTGTTTGAGCCATAGAAGATCAGGAAGTCAGCTAGTGAGCCAGTTGCACAGTTCAAGGCCTTCATTGGCAAAAGCAGGCATGGCATGAAAAGAAACAGCATGGAGTTGGCAGTAAGCTGGGAAAATATATGGCAGCAATTAGTGAGTCTGGAGTCTCTGGATGTTCAGGCTTGAGGGAGCTGATGTTGTCCAGCGGGAACAAGGGCTTGATGTCACCCCAAGTGACTGAAGCAACTTCTTTGCAGTCTGCACCTGGCAGTACTACGTCTCTCTCGGGTGGTGCTTTACTGGCATCCCCTGTAGGAAGCTGGAAGTTTGGAGTTGGTCAGGCCATGATGCCAGAGCATGCTGGAGAGCGAGTCGCACACACCGAACTGGAACTCACAACAGACCTGTAGGGGTAGAAATAAAGCAGATCCGGTAGCTGTTGATAAAAAAGGTTGTTAGCTCAAGGTCCTTGGATTTGTGGAGATGTCTGTCTGCTGGTGCAAGCCTGACTGAATCAAAAGTAAGATGGTTAAATGAAACAGCAAAGTGTTTCATTTACACTGGATTTTGCCTAGGGTCTTGAACTTCTCCCCATTTCCTAATTGTTTTCAAGGAGCAAGTGGTCCACTCCACACTTGTTTAACTTGTGGAATTACAAGGACTACTGTGGGTAAGAGAACTATCCCCACTGGAGGCAGGATGCTGGGGAAAGCTGGGAACAAGAAGCAGAAACAAAAATCAGCTCTCAGGCATTTGGCCTGACCCATGACAGCAATGCAAGCAATCATGTGCTATATAACCTTTTGAGTTGTTGCTCAAATGAGCCCTGAAAAAGTTTCAACTGTGACATGGACTGTGGATTTTGGTTTTAAAATGCACAGCCCTTGGCCACAACTGCGGTGCTTCTAAGATTCACAGCATGTGGAACTTCCTGTGAGGTCATGGAGCAATGGGTCAAGTCTCAATCACGATACACTATACCTTCAACACTGTTTTTAAATAGAATCAGATAACATTTCCAGGGGTGGCCTCTCCTGGGGTTTTAGAGACGTACAGAGATTGTCCTATTAGTACCGATAAGACTATTTATGCCAACAAGAATTTATATGTGATAAAAATAGGGAGGATCTATTAGCAGTATTTGAAAATAACCCCGTTATTCTCGAACCTTTGGCTAACCAAAAATTTGATACCTCTGGCAGACATTGATATTATTATAATATTATTATTCAGGAATTATTTTTCTTCTTTTTAAAATCTCCAGTTCAGCAAACAAACTTTAAATAAGTATAACTGGTTTGATAAAGAAGGTATCAACCATAAGAAAGAACTCAGAACTTGTCTTAAAAGAAGCCTCTATCACTAACTCCCAAGGTCTCTGGAAGACTTATTTTGAAATGAAAAACGCTTTTTAAGAACATGCTCCGGGGGGAAAAATTGTGTTTTCACAAGCCAAATTGTCCAAAATTGTTTACTGCATTAGAAATTAAAGATACCAAAACCTTTTGGTCACACCTTTCAATAAAAAACTACCACTGATTTCCCTAATATGATGAAGCTTGGATTACGCATTTTACCGCTGTTTTTCTATGATTCCCAAGTTTTTAAGAAGGAAAATTTTAAATCTTCTTTGGCAAGACCACACTACTTTCAAAATTACTGTTGAGGAGATGATTCTTTTGTTTAAGCAAGGAAAATCTCAATAGACCTGTTGAGATTAAGTTGTGGAATGGTGGGCCATTAAGCTTTAACTCTATCACTCAGTCCTTGTACCAAAAACCGTGGAATAACTCAATAGTGGTGCCCGATTTTTAAAAAAGGTGATAGGAATTGCAAGAGAATTACAGGCCTATTAGTTTGTTACCATTGCATAAGTAAAAATGTATGCCAAATCCTGCTTATTAAACTGGAAGAATGGATGCTTACAAAGGTCTACCTGGTAAGGAACAAGCTGGTTTCAAGGCAGGCTCTTCAACTCTTGACCAGTGTCTAGTGTTATGTCATCTTGTGGACAAATATGTCTTGTAGATATTAAAAGTGCTTTGATTTGGTTGATCATAATAAACTGTGGCGGGACGCCCAGGTGGCGCTGGTGGGTTAAAGCCTCAGCCACCTAGGACTGCCAATCGAAAGGTCGGGCGGTTCGAATCCCTTGCGGGCGGGGGTGCGCTACCTGTCGGTTCGCCCAGCGCCTGCCAACCTAGCAGTTCGAAAGCACCCCCGGGTGCAAGTAGATAAATAGGGACCGCTTACTAGCGGGAAGGTAAACGGTGTTTCCGTGTGCGGCTCTGGCTCGCCAGAGCAGCGATGTCACGCTGGCCACGTGACCCGGAAGTGTCTCCGGACAGCACTGGCTCCCGGCCTATAGAGTGAGATGAGCGCACAACCCTAGAGTCTGGCAAGACTGGCCCGTACGGGCAGGGGTACCTTTACCTTTTAATAAACTGTGGACCAAATTGGAACACCTCGGTATTGACCCATACCTACTTACATTGATCCAAAGTTTACACTCCAGTAACCAAATACAGTGGTACCTCGGGTTACATACGCTTCAGGTTACAGACTCCGCTAACCCAGAAATATTACCTTGGGTTAAGAACTTTGCTTCAGGTTGAGAACAGCAGCAGGAGGCCCCATTAGCTAAAGTGGTGCTTCAGGTTAAGAGCAGTTTCAGGTTAAGAACGGATCTCCGGAACAAAATTAAGTTCTTAATCTGAGGTACCACTGTACATGTTAAAGTTTCAAAAGATGGTAGACTTGCAGGTCCAATTCTGAATAACCCAAGGAGTTAGGCAAGGCTGTATCTTGGCCCCCTACCCTATTTAATCTTTTTTTATCTGACCCTCCCATTATTTCTTCAAAATGTAACCACTCATATCCCTTATTTAAACAATATCCCAGTTTTTTTTATTACTTTATGCAGATTGATGCAGTAAAATTATCTCACTTTCCTCTTTGGGTTTTAAAAATTATTTAAGAGTTTCTCAAACTTTTGCTCTATTAATAACCTCAAAATTAACTATGATAGGACAAATATGCAATTTACAAAGAGACGGGAACCCAAAACATTGGATAATTAATGGGACATTAATTATCTTCTTGTATTAGAAGCTAAGCATTTCAATTATCTGGAAATTGTATTTAAAAATAACATGAATTGGAACACACATATCTTTGCTGCAATAGCTAAGGCTATAGTGACAGCTCACCATATTAAATCTTTTTTTTTTCCTCCCGTAGGATTTCAGGTGACCTTAAGAGGTTGGATAAATTTCATGCATCCCTTCTGAGGTCATTATTAAGACTTGCAAACTCTGTAAAATATGAATCAATATGTTGTGAGATGGGAATACTTCCTTTAATCAGTAAGAGTATGGCTGAGAACCTTGAAATATTTGGATCTTCCTGCATTACAGAGCCCTATCTCCTAATTCTCTCCTTTACAAACTCTTAAGTGATAATGTGATTTACAATCTATCATTGATTTGTAGGAGAAAATTGAACTCGATAGGGCTTAATCTAACTGACTTTGAAAATTCTGACCCCAAAGATACTTGGGAAATTATCAGGAAAAATCTTACAGAAAATAGTGTTCTCCCCACACTTGAGGCTGCAAAACACAGGACTTGCTCTCCTCTCTATTTAAATCTCCCTTTGTGTAGAGATTTTCAAAAAGGATACATGGCAAATCTGTAGAATCATTAATTGTGCGGGCTGTTTATGTTAGCCAGATTTAATATGTTTCCCTCGATGATAGTGAGAGGAAGATATTTAGCTCTCCAGAATAAGAGCGTCTCTGCAAATGTAGTAAACAGGAACCTGATACTTTGGAGCTTATTTCTTTTCTTCTGATTTTGGAATTATGCCAGAAGACAATTATTAGAGGCCTTAAAACCCAATAGACTGATTTCTATGCTACCGACGGTTCAGGACCTGCTTTCGGACAGGAATGATCAAATTACTTTAATAGTGGCTGAATTTTTGAGTGCTGTCCATGTAGAAAGATTGGGCCATTATAAAGAGACTTAATAATTCTTAATTGATTGGTGATGTGGTAGTGTTGTATTGTATTATTTATGCAAATTGATTTTCTCTGGAGTTAAAGATCTGATTGAGACAAACCTTGTTATGCCAAGCTCATATTTTGCACAATTTGTATATGATGTCTGTTTGATAATGTGTGGTTTGCTATGCCTAATAAAGGATATTTGGCACTTCTGAGTTAGCGCCTCTGGCAATGGCGGATTTCCTCTGATCGGAGGAATCCGCTTCGTGAGAATTAGGGTCTGGACCGCCGCGGAGAGGCGGAAGACCCATTAAAAACCACAGGCAGGAGAAGCCTGTGGACGTGGATTCGGCTGCACCTTTTGCGCCTCCCCTACTCGCGGGGAAATCCGGTTTTGGGGATCCGGAGTGACGTGGGGTGAGTGGCGCAGTGCTTCGAATCGACTGCTTTTTTCACGGAGTGAAGCCGCATTGCTGTTGCTGGAGAGCGCTGACTTTTTCCTGTGGACAATTGGATTTTAAACAACTGCTTGTGAGTAGAACGGAAAATTGGACTATGAAATTTCTTAATTTGGCACCGAAGCGGGAAGGTCTAAACAGGAAGTCCACCTTCCGCTTTTGTAAATAGATTGAAGCAAAGACATTGCAAGCTAGAGTCTGGAAAGTCGTCTGTAAAGGATTAAATTTCCATCATTTAAAATTACTAAACCCCCTTGGAAGCAGGAGAAGAGGGGGGAATCTTTTTAGACTGTTTAAACCTGCAGAAGAGAGAGTAAAGAAAGATAAATTTCCACCGTCTTGAACCTGGGAGCGGGGTGTCAGGACGGACGCTTTGGGGAAGTTCATTGACTGTGGACAAACGTTTTTGACAGATAGTTAAAAAAGAAGAAACATATTGATTCCAATGTTCCCTCTTGCGTTTAAAAGAAACAAAATATCTGAAAAAGGAAAGGAACTTTGTTGCTAGATCTGCTTTTAAAAAGACGGATACAAATAGAAATTGTTTCCCCTAGAGCAGTGTTTCCCAACCGGTGTTCCGCGGCACACTAGTGTGCCGCGAGATGTTGCCTGGTGTGCCGCGAGATGTTGCCTGGAGGGAGGCGGGCGAGTCCAAAAAAGGTTGGGAAACACTGCTCTAACACACGCCAGCTGGGGTCTGCCTCCGCGTTGCATCAGCTTCCTCGCTCTCGGCGCTCTGCTTGCCAGCCTGGTGGCCTCTGCCCCACCCCGAGACTGGAAGGGAGGGGCGGGGCTTCCACTGCGGCTGCGTCTCTGGCTCTTTCGACTCATTCCTCCTCCGAGTGGGCTTGAAAGAGCGGCCGATGGATGAATCGGCCGGCGACCCTGAAGCCTTGTGCAAAGTAGAGGAGGCGGAGAAGCGACGGCAGGGAGCTTAGGCGCCGCATCCGGCTCATTGCGGGAAGTCAAGATGGCGGCGGGTAAGTGTGGGAAGCAGCTTTTCCCTCCGCCGCCCCCCTCTCACCGGGAATAAAGGGGGCCCCGCTGGGGGGTGACATTGTAGAACGCAGAGTTCTTATTTTGGGAAGGTTTGAGGGGTCGGACTAAGCAGGTTGGGGGCTGGTCTGGGCTTCCGCTCCCTCCCCTCCCCACGGAGTGTACCTGCGGTGCAAGGAGGCGCTCTGAGCCACTGCTCTGGGAAAGGAAGGAGGGCGAGGCGGCCTGGCCAAGTGCAGGGGAGACCCGTAGTGGGGAGCAGGGGGAGGAGGAGGCACCGAGGAATGGAGGCGGGGGAGACTCCCTCGCTTTGCAGAAGCTGCAAAAAACGAGGCAGGGAATTGGGTTTGTTTTTGTAGCTCAGGACGTGCTTCGCTTCTGGTGTGCCTAAGGCGGCCGCCCCAATTATCCCCTAGCCCGTCTTTCCAGGTGCTGCCCCCCCTCCACAAAGGGCCATAGAACTGTAGAGTTGGCAGGGGTCCCAAGGGTCATCTAGTCTTAAGTTTCTCTTTCAAAAAGGAAACGTGGGTTTAAAGCGGCGACGACGCCTCCCACTCACTTTCCTGCTCTGGCTTCCCTAACAGTTTTCCGAGTTGCGTCACTGGATCCAGCCCCCTTTTCCACAGGTGACACGGGGCTGGAGGGAGGGAAAGAGGGCTTTACGTCGCGCACAAAGGCAGCCTCCTAGAAGTGCTCTGGGCCGCGCCGTTTCGCCGAAGGCGCCGGAGGACCCCCACCCTCAGCTCCTTCAGAAAGGACTGGAGCGGAATAGCCCTTTCTCTTCTTCCCCAACCCTTGTCGTTGGAGGAGTCCCTCAGTCCCTCGCTTTGCTGCCTCCTCCCCCCCACCCCAAAGCTTGGAGGTTCCCCGGCAAGGGGAAGGGGAAAAAATTGAAACTTACACTTTCGTGCGTCCCTCCCAGCGTGACGCTACGCGCTGACGTCACGGGGCTGTAATGGTGGTGTGCCTCGAGATTTTTTTCATCAAACAAGTGTGCCTTTGCCCAAAAAAGGTTGGGAAACACTGCCCTAGAGGGAGCTTGTGAAAACTGTTATTAGAGTCGAACTGGGGAGCTTTGCAGCTGTAGAGATTAAAGATCGTGGGACCAGACTTTGACCTTGAACAAGAATGCGCCTAGAACAAGCGTTAATGCTTGCTCTTTGCAAGACAAGTGCTTTACTGGAACAGCTACATGAGAAGATGGATTTGATGACTGTTGCAGTTTTTTATTGACTTGTATTGTTCAATTGTTATTTTTGTCTACCTTTTTCTTTCTTTTTCTTTTTCTCTTGTTTTTTCTTTCTTTCTCTGTAATTTTAAATTCTCAATAAATATCATTTTAAAAAAATAAGATAAAGGATATTTGGCAAGGCTCCTTCCACCTCCATTATTCTGTGTCACAGGTGGGGAATCTATTTGGCTTCAGGGCCCAGATCCTGATCAGGATTGTCCCCATGGGCCAAAAGGGGCAGGGGCTGAAGCTGACATCCTAGCATAGCCCACCCGTCAATCTCATCTACCCTTCTACCCCTCCACTTCAGTTATTGTTTGAAGTGCTGGGACACCTGTGGTGCTGTTAGGGGCAGGGCTAAAGTCCTGAAGCAGGGAGCCTGCTTAGGTAGTAAGTATAGAAGCTTGGAAAGTGAAGGTGCAAAATCGTAGAGAGATCTCCCTCCAGACCCAGCAGAGGTTCCCACTTCTGAAGTTCTGCTCCAAAATGCAATTAGAGGGGGAAATCACTCAACTTTGGGGCTAGACACTGCAAATGCATTCCCCCACCCTTCCAGCATGCTGGCTCCTTTCTCACAACTAACGTCTTAAAAGGACTAACATCTTCTGACTCATTTCAGAAAGAAATTTAAAAACAAAAATGTGTGCCAAGAGGCTTTGGCCAGAGGTCTACCAGCTTTTACTGAGTTTAAGACTTTAAGTGATGCCTGTCGTAACAGTTCCAAGGCTGGATGGGTTAGGGGGTGGGGAGGAGTGGGGGAGAAATGGCCATAACTGGACAAAGGGGATGAAAGACCTTTCTAAAGGGTCCCTAAGTGTAGACTGCTAGACAATAAAGAAATACAGATGTATAATAAATGCTGGAGATGTGGGATCTTATGCAGGTTTACTCAGAAGCAAGTCCCACAGAGTTCAGTGGGGCTCCTTCCCTCCCAGGTAACTGGCCATACGTTTTCCAACTAAAATCAGACAGGGTGAAACTCCCAAAATAACACAACCGAAAGAGCTTAGAAAACAGATTATTTCTGATATTAATGGGCCTGATCCAGTTCTGGCCTAATGCTCCTTTTGGACACAGGACAGTAAAACATGGCAGCCCCAGGCTAATAATTGCCGGTGTCGATCTTCTGGGGACTCCAGGCCTCATGCTGCAGGATGACCTTGGGGGCTCTTGTCTCACCCCCCCCCCACTTCAGTTGCCCACCCTGCTTATGGTTTTAACCATGTATTTGTGAAATATACTTGGAGTCGAGAGTGGATTTCATGCTCATTATTCAGCTCATAGTGGTGAGGAGGAATGGAAGTTCCCCCAGAATGTCTGCTTTATATACATTATTTACACAATAGGCCCCAAGTGATTGGCTAGTTCCAGGATTCATCTGTAGGCCAATCAGGTTGCGGATTCACTTCCACCTGGAGCTGGATTGGGTGGCTCCTGTGGACCAATCAGACTGCTGCATTCTGTATCCTATTGTTCTAGGACCAATCAGACTGCTGCCTTTTGGATCCTATTCAACTCAGTACATAACACCCCTCCCCTCTAAGTTCCAGTCCTGCCCGGGAGGTCGCATTCATAGTCCTCAATGTACGCCGGCCGCCTACGTGTGCGTTGCGGCCTGGGGTGTTCCCTGGTCAGGGGTTCCGGTTCTGGCTCGTGTTCTGAGGATGCTGGCTGCGATTAAGGGAAGGGGAGATGCCTCTGCCCTGGTGGGGACCCCCACCCTCCATTTCCTTTCCTCCCAGCAAACCCCTCCCTGCAATTCTGGCCCTTGGAGGAAACGTTATTGGGGGGGGGGGAGTGTGACTCTGAGCCTCTCCTGCCTTCCACTCACCTCCGCTCTGGTTGTAGCGATTCAAAAGATTCTGCAGATTCCCCCTGAACACCAGCTCAGCACCGTGATATATCTGAGTCTCCGTGTGCCAGTACTGAGGATCCTCCTTTTCCACCTTCCTTATCCAGGGAACGAGAGGTAGCGCCTCCTTGGTGTCACTGTCGTACTGAACATATTGCTGGTCATCCACATACCCCACAGAAATGAACTGGGGCAGGCCCTGGCCAGGCTCAGACACGGCTGTGTAGAAGTAGCGCAGGGAGTGAGAAGTGGAGCCTGGAAAGGAAGAGAGAGGGGAAGAGAGTTAGGGGTCCTGCAGACGAAGGAAGCCTAATCCTGCTGTATTGCAGGCAGCAGCCCTGAATTAGGAGATCCAAAGCTCAGCAGGGTTTGGGGGAGTTTGTAGACCTGCCCTTAAACACAGAGGAGGAAGAGCAGAGGAAGCCTAAAAATTATAGAGTTGGAAGAGGAAAAGATAGGATATAAATACAAGTAACAACAACAATAGCCCATGGAGCAGTGGGCGAGAAAAAGCTCTGCCAGGCAGCACTAAATCTCTGCATGTCTCTGCTGAGGCTCCGTGTGGGGGAGAGAGAGGCCAGCCCCTCCCTTTTGCCAAGGGGGCAGGAATTGCCCCCCACTTGCAAGCACCAAGCTGATGAGAGCTCCCACAACATGGTCTGAAGGCTCAGGATGCACTCAGATCTGGGAAGTGGATGGAGGGGAGACCAGACAAACCAAAATTCATATATTGGGAGAACAGGAAGCTGCCTCCTCCTGGGTCAGAACACTGGTCCAGGTAGCACTGAGTTGTTCACACTGACTGGAAGTGGCTCCCCAGGGACACAGGAAGGGGTCTCTTTCCCAGCCCCCGCCCCCCGAGATGTCAGGGATAGAACCAGGGACCTTTTATGGGCAAGGCAGGTGCTGCCCCTCTGCCACATGTCCCTCCCTCTTATGTGTTGCCTTGAATTACATGGGGGCACAGTGCTAAGGGGGGAAGAGCAAGTCCTGTTTTGTTTAAGGTAGCAAAATGGGATGTATTATTATTATTATTATTATTATTATTATTAGAATTTATATATCACCCTATAGCCAGAGATCTCAGGGCAGTTCACAGAACGAAATCAAAATCTAAAACCACAAAATATTCAATCAAAATAAAAACAACCCAATAACCCCCCCCCAAAAACACCATTTTTAAAGGGCATAGGGTGTTGATCAAATCAACCAAAGGCCTGGTTAAAAAGGAACGTTTTTGCCTGGCAACTAAAGGTGTATAATGAAGGCGCCAGGTGAACTTCCCTGGGAAGAGCATTCCACAGAGGGGAGCAACAACAGAGAAGGCCCTGTTCTCGCATTGCTATCCTCCAGACCTCTCAAGGAGGCGGCACAGCACACGAAGAAGGGCCTCAGCACACACACACACCCTGCTAGCAACCCCACTGCTCCAGGTGCCAGGGCAGGTAGCTCTGCCCCTGCCTTGATGGTGTGTCACTCTGCTACCTCCCTCCAGCTCGGTTTCCTTTCAGGCCAGATCAAATGGGACCCACTTCCAAGGCCCTCCCCTCCCAGGGCAGGGTGCATAAGATGGGCTGCAATCCTATGCGCCCCTTGCATTCTTTCTCCCATGAAGAATACTCTTGTCTCACAAAAGTGTCAGTTTAAAACATTTTTCTTTGGGCAACCCTATCCAGATAGGCAAATGTTGACGTGTTTTGACCTCTCAATGCTAATTTTAGTTCTTTTTTAATGCTTTAAACTGTTCTTATTATTTTACTATTTCCTGTAAATTAATAAGAGTTTTTACCACAATCGAGCAGGATATACATTTTTTTAGCTAAACAGAGAACATGAGTGGCAACCCCAAAAGGAGAAAAACACCCAAGGCAGCTCAGGAATGTGGAATTAAGAATTTAATAGTGATAAATCCTTGAATAGTATGCAGAGCCAGTCGATTGGGGGGCTGAGGTAGCAGGAATATTCTGAGCAAGGGCAATTCATGTCTAGGAGCCCCAGAAGCCAGGCAGAGGCTCCAACATTTTTGAATTTTTTTGGGGGGGAGGCAGAATATAAAAGGAGGGCGTATTCAAGGGGAACTGGGCTGTAAGGTGGGGGCCCCCCTTTTGTTTCTCAGGAGTTGTTTCTGCCCTTCGTCCCAAACAACTTGACATGTACAAAACGTGGTGAAAGGGGCTGTACAGAAACGGCAGAGAGAAGCCCCCTGCATAATTTAGGAAACCTACATTTTTGACAGGCAGCAGGAAAGGGGTTTTCTTGGTGGGGGAGACTGGGGGAGTTACAACTCTAAAGCAGAAGAGCCTGATAATTCATGTGCCTGTGAAAGGGAACTCCTGAACAACACAACATGGGGAATTGCGGGTGGGGACCCCTTATTCAGACGTTTACCCCGCAATGAAGTCAGCTCTACACGCGTCCAGCTCCCACCCCCAGTCTGGTCTCCAGGGTTTTTAGCTGAGTTTTTAAGAGCGGCTGAGGGTTAGAAGAGGGAAGGTAAAAAATAGAAGAGGGAAGACTCTGTACCTGTATATCTCTCACACACAAACTCACAAACACTCACACAAACCAGAGTCAACCCGAAGCTGCGGGGGGCGGGACAGGTGAGTCACTCCCCCCCCATTAATACCTGCCAACACCTTCAAGCTTTGTTTTGTTCTTTGCTTGAGCCCCGAGCCCAGGAGTGAAGCGGCCCCTGCCCCGGGCGGCATACAAAACAAGCCAAGTCTGGGAAACAGATGTCTGGGAAGGGATTATTTTCTCCCCCCGCCCCAGAGCAGAGTCCTTACCTGCGCAGTCCAGGAGCAGCAGCAGCAGGTGGGCAGTCGCCCCCAGGATCAGGGGGGGCCAGCGGAGGAGGAGGACCCCCATCTCCCCCCAAAAGGAAGCTCCCTTTTCCTCCTCCCTCCTCCCTCCGACCCGCTCTCTGCCCCGCCTGCGGAACCAGCAGCAGCGGGAGCCGGGATTGGCCGAGGGGAAATATTTCACCAATCGGAAATCTGCGCGCAGATGGCGGCACCGGTCGCCGGGCAGAACTCGAAGCACAAGTGGCGAGCGAGGCTGAAGAGGGAACGAGGAAGTTCTTGCAGCCCCTCGCCGGGAATCGCCGCCTCCCTCCCTCCCTCCCTCTGCCCCCCCCTCAGCTCTTCCTGTCCTTATGTGCAGGGAGGGGGGGTTCCCAGGGGAGGACCCCGGGTTCAGTCCCCGCATCTCCAGGGGGGTCTGGGAATGTCCCCCTCTCTGGAACTGGGGAGAGGGGCTGTGAGATCCCCAGGGAGATGCACTCGTGGGCAGAGTCTGTAAAGCTGTCAGTCAAGCCCAACATTCCCAGAGGACTAACTGCCTCTATGTGGCAGTTTGTCTGTTGGTCGGTTGCTGCTGGGAGTGTTGACTCCGATGCAGAGAGGGAGGAAGGTCAGGTGGTACCCGGTGAGGAAAATTTCGTGTCACCCCCTCCCCAACATTGAATTTAAAAAAAAAAATGCCTGCAAAAATGGTTTTACGTTATTTCATATTTTCTTACAAAGGAATGTGGATTCTGGGCCTCTGATAACAAGTAGGCAACTATAGACAGATGCTTAAATTTACAGGATGAATTGTGTTTTGGCTTCGATTATTTTATTTATATTTATTGTTTATTTATTGAATAAAATTTATTTTTAAAAATCTGCATAGTGGTTTACCAAAAAAAACCCAAAACAAAACCACCACAGTAGTAAAATCAAGAAAAATTAACAACCCTACTTTAAAACATACAGAAGCTAAAACATTAAGATAAAATTACTTCAACTTCTTAAGCATCTAGGTATGCTTGCCTAAAGAAGAAGGCTTTTAGCAGGTGCCCGAAAATAGTCTAGCAAAGGCACGCGCTTTGTTGCAATAGGCGGGTAGTTCCAAAGTTCAGGTGCCGTCACAGTAAAGAATGCAGTACAGATATTATGAGGAACCGGTAGTAGTGCTTGAAACCACTAACGGGGAGGTTTTATTTATTGTGATTTCACCATGCTCTGTATTATCTGAAAAGGAAAACAGGACTGCAAGCAGCAATCTAGTCTCATCATGATCAGCGAGACTTATTCCCGAGCCAACGGTGCATAAGATGGGCTGCAATCCTATGCACCCCTTGCATCCAACTTGTACCTAAACCTCTGCACAAGCCTGCACCAGAGAACTGTAGAGTTGGAAGGGACCCCTGAGGGTCATCTAGCCAAATCCCTGGGGCAATGCAGGAATCTCAACTAGACCATCCCTGGCCGATGGCCACCCGTCTTCTATTTTCCCCCTCAGCCAGGACACCCAACAACAGAGACTGGAGGTGGGGGAAAAGATAAATTTTGACAATGGGGCAGATTTGTCAGGCATGCGCAGGAACAACTGGAAGACTTTAATATTTAATGCTGTATTGTTTTTAATACTTCCCCCCCCCAATAAATTTTTATTCATTTTCATTAGTGCACATAAACTCATTATACATTTATACATCCTACATATATCTTTAGCTCTTCCGAGCTTTGGACTTCCCTCCACCCCTTCGGTAAGTATCATATAATTTTTACATCGCATAATCTATTAGCTACTGTTTTGTCTTATGCTGCTAGAGTTATGCATGAAATTTCCTACATAGCTATATAATCCCTAGTGTAGTAAGATAATACATTTGGAGCAGACATTTTCCAAAAAAATAAAAATAAAATAAAATTAATGAACTGCCCTAGTAGGGCAGCAATTGTTCCTTATTTGTCATCCCCCCTCCATGATGGAACCCGGGGTGCCCTGCCCCCCGCCGCTCCCTTCCTACGGCCTTGCTACGGATGCAGTGTTCTCATGACTCACTACTATCTAGTATATAGTTTATCTGTTAAGTAACTAAAGCCTTCAGGAACAACTCTGTAAACTGAATGAATCTGAAAGTAAAGTAGTTGATGTTAATATGATTCAGATTCATGTGTGTTTTGTTTGGAGGGACAGAAGGGATTACCAACCAGGAAGGTATAAATATTGATAGTACTCAAACGAGTTAGCAATCCACTTGTCACTGCATAAACTCAAACAGGGAATTGTTTAAACTCTGCTAAATTATATAAACGTTCCCACACAGTCAGTGCAAGAAAGCCTCCTGTGTCCTTTTTTTTTTAAAAAAGCCCTTACATGTCTTAAAAGATGGCTCCCTTCTTCCTCCACTGCCAGAGGCAGTAAATGCATTAGCATCCCACTCACTGGGTGTCCCTCTTCCGTCCTCCTTGCAGGATTCCTTACTGGGGCATCTGGGTGGCCACTGAGAGACCGCCATGCTGGACTCGATGGGCCCCTTTTGGGTGATCCAGCAGCCTGGCTCTTCTCCTGAGTCCCTCTATCTAGTGGCAGGGGGTTTCAGCGATTAACTGTGTGCCTTATAATAAATGCTTAGTGTTGCAACAAGGGCTGAACCTCAGGGTTGAAGTCAAAACACACACACAGGGAGAGAGAGAGTATATGACCACACAGAGAAGCACAGAAGGTGCAGGGAGACTGAAAACAAGTTTGGTATCAGCACAGGGTCAGGCCAGAGCCCACCAGCTTGCCACAATTCCCTTTCTCCATGTGCTTGGCCCACATCCCACTTTCAGAAGTCTGAACATTTGAAACATGAGAAGCTGCTTCCTTTTCCAAGAAATCAGGAGAGAGACAAGTAGTGGCCGCTCCTTGCCCAGGTACAAGGAAGCTATTATTTAAGGGGGGGGTAGGCTGTGAAGTCGGAAGGTAAAGAATTATTTGGGAGTTCTCCTTTTCCCAAGCTGCATGATCTCTATCATCCCTATTTCCCCTTCTCTGATGCCAAAGTATTATTGTGAATTTGGGGGGTGGTCTTAGTCTGCAGGATGCCTGCGTCCCTTCTGATTCCTGGGGTCCTGGATCCAGCCAAGGTTGAAATCTAATGGAGGGATCCATTGTTGAACTATCTCGGTGAGATGATGGCCATAGATGTCACCTAAGCACCCTCACTAGTATAGCCAAAGAAGTTGCTCTCACCCCCAAAACTGGCTGGTAGTCAGAAAGTCAAAAAGTTTCGCCGTTGTGTGTGAGCTGGGCTGAGAAGAGGCTGCAGGTGAAGAAGCTGTTTTCAGTGCCAGGCTTGATTTCTGTTGGATGCCAAGGCTGTGAATGGCGCTCAGGGCCTGTTTGGGCTTCCCAGAAGAGGAAGCATCATCCGGTCATCCATTGTGAGGATGGGAGGCTGCACTCTAGGGGCCTCTGGCCGGATCCAACCACACTCTTCTTGTTTCCCCTGTAAAAGTGACTCTCTTAGAGTCCGTTCTCTTTTTGGCCATTATTCACAGCAACAATTTGTGGTTGCAAGATGAGCCCCTGTGAAGAAGGAGGCTGGCTGTTTTGAGGGGGGCTCTCCTGGACCCACTTTTGGGACTCAATGGGCTCAGTCACCTCAGGGACGTCTTAAGATTTACTTTTCACCTGCTCCATCCAGTTTTCCTGGACAGGGATAACGCTGGTCAACAACAAATTTGTTGTCTGCGTTTTTTCAGTTGATTTAGGACGAATCTGATGCGCTGAATCCAAAAATCACATTGGTTTTGCTCAATCAGGTCAACTTTTTGAGCTATGGCCACATGTCATTTTTTTACATTTTTGTTCGCATGTACGCTTGTGTGGAGCACTTTAGAAGAAGTTGGTGGGGGTAAAATGCCATGTTGAATAATTGTTTTGATTAGAAATGATTATTTTAATGACAAGAAGTATTCAGGTCCGATAGTTCTGGGTGATTATGTCAAAAAGGGGTCAGTTTGAAGTCATAAAACCTCGAAATCTTCCATAAATTGGTGCACAAGTTTCATAAGGTGTGCTTACCATGCTTATTTTGGTATTAAACTTGGTAACCAGGATAAAGCTTGGGCGCCACACATGGTGTGCAAGGCATTCACTGAGACTCTACGTGGGTGGACCAATGGCAAGAGGAGTCTGAAGTATGGAATTCCCATGGTTTGGAGGGAGCCAACAAACCATGTCACTGACTGCTACTTCTGCACGTCGTCCTGTAGCTCATTGTGATGAAATTCCAGTGCCTATCTTCAGAGAACTTCCTGACATTAGTGACGAAGATGCCTCCAGTGTTGAAGGACATGAAGAAGAAGAAGTGGTTCTTGAGGATGATGCTCCACATCCATTTTCCCAAAAGGAGTTGAATGATCTAGTTCGCGACCTCAGCTTGTGAAAGGACTCTGCCTGTCAGGGCTGCCTCAGGTCTCAGCTCACAAAAGACCAACGCCAAGTTCTTCTTATATACAAGGATGTTTATTGCAGTTCATTATTGGTTCCACAACCGAGGCGTGCAGCCCCACGTCTGTTAGCCTTAGACCGTTGAAGTCCCCTCTGAGTCGGTCCCTCCCCTACACCAGTTTAAGAAGCTTGCGCTGCTCCACCTTTTCCTTTCTCTCCTTTTACGCAGGGTCTTCCTGCCCACCGGGGTTCTTCCGCGCGCCTGTACATTTGAACTTGGCGCGCGCACCCAACTTCTAACCTTCCTCTTGACAGCTACACTACTCCCTTCACTACTCCCCTCCCCTTCCGGGAGAGTGGCTTGCTCCGACCCCCCTTCCTTCTTTGCTGCCGGAGCTGCTTCCTCTGATACACTGGAACCTCCACCCCCTTCGCTGCGTTCCGGCGGGGTGGCTGGTCCTGACGCCCAGCTGCCACTTTGGGATCCCCTGCTGGCCCCCCGCTCCTGACACTTTCCCCCTGGGGCTCCCCTTGCCTTGGCCACCGGCGCCCCCTTCTGGGAATCCTCTGATTCGCTGGAGAGACTCATAGAATCCCTTGCGTCATTGTGATCCTCTTCCTCGCTGTCCTGGGATTCATCTCCATCGCTCTCCATTTCCTGCCTCCCCTGTGCCTCT